GATTTATAATATACAGAGACACACTCTATATATATATATATATATATATATATATATATATATAATGTACTGACCTGATTTTTATTTATTCATCAAAAATAAGACAAATTCCATGAAATTCTGCGTTATACCGTAAATTCCATTTTTATTACTGGATTCCGCGATTCCGTCCATGTTTTCTGCATCGTGGACATTAGGCATGGGCTGATTACCGGTTTCAAGGTATACCGCGATTTGAAAATTTTCACGGTTTCAAAACCACTAATATTTTCCGTTATACCGTTCCTGCGGTATGCGCTGTTTTTCATGTCTCCTCAAAGACTGAAAGTGTAGGAATCCCTCAGGTTGAGTGCAGTGTAGAGGGTAACTCGAGCCTCCTCCTCCTGTTGGTGCGAGCAAGCGGTCAGTCACGTGTGTGTGTAGGACTTGGACAAACTGCGTTGCAATGCAATAATTTTCAAAAATGTAATTTATGTGAAAATATGAAGTCTGTAAACGTAAATGTATCGGCTGCCAAAATCAAATTGATTGAAGCATAAATAATAGAACTCATCAATTAGAGAATACATTACACTCTACATGGCAGAGATCCAATATCAATTATCAGTATTTATTTTTATTTTGTGAGCAATATTATCTAAACTGTAATGTCTATACTTTCATGCCAGCTTTTTGAAGGTGCAAAATTACAGTTCCAATCACCCAAAAGTCAGTCATTGAAATTCTATTTTAAGCACATTTAGAAAAGGTAGATAACCGATGGACACCTGTAATCAGGCCCTAAATAAAATTTGTATTGGGAAAAATATAAGCTTTGAAATCATCAGCTTCAAATAAAAGTCTAATCAAATTGTTGTGCGAAAATGTGCTGGTAAGGGGTTTATTATGTACCTTTTGGCTGTAGGATATTATTTATTTATGAGCACCTTGGTTAGGTTGTGCTGTCCATGACGGTAACATCTTTACCTCTGACCCATGATGTGTCTGGTTTCATAGGTTGGTGTGTGAGTGCGTGACCAGCATGTCAAAGAGCCCTCCTCACAGGCGTGGGATCACGTTCGAGGTGGGAGCGCAGCTGGAGGCCAGGGACACTCTGAAGAACTGGTCAGTGTCTTTCCTCTGCTTCCGTTCTGCCATATGTTCATTCACTCGGCCTGATTGAAATTCAGATGCTTCTCTGGTGCTGATGCCACTAGTTCTCATACATTCCAGAACTTTTGAAAAAGTTCTAAATTTGCCCACAGGACAAATCTGAAAATCAGCAATCTAAATCTGAGTTTATTTTATTTGTTTCATAATACCCCCTTCAAAGATCTTTTTCAACTTTAGAGACCCATATGTGACCTGTAAATAATCTGAAGTAGGCCATTTCAAACTTTTCGTTTTGTGTTCACAGGTATGCAGCTTGCATTGAGAAGATCGACTATGAAGACGAGAAGGTTTTGATTCACTACAGGCAGTGGAGTCACCGTTATGATGAGTGGTTTGACTGGAGCAGTCCGTACCTCAGGCCTGTAGAACGAATCCAGCTTCGAAAACAAGGTCTCCCTGAACGGCAGAGCGCTCCAGTAAGCACTTCCTGTCTAACTTTGCTGAGTCACTCACAGTCTGCATGGGCAAAGTTGTTCTCTGACTCATTATGTTGCTGGATTATATATAGATATGTTTCTCTTCTCAGGGCTTTCATGTCAACCAGAAAGTTCTTGCCAGCTGGTCAGACTGTCGGTACTACCCTGCTAAGATCCTGTCCCGGGACAGAGATGGTGTGTACTCGCAACACTCACAACTAAATCCTCAGTTTATCTTCTGAATGGTCCAGCTTCAAATTCTTCAAAGTTTATTTTAATAAGTTTAATAAAAAAATATATATTATTATTTCAAATTCATTATAATAATTATATAAATTATATATGTATTTATTAAACAGTCAAATCTATATTTCCATTCCTTTTTTTAATTTAGAAATTAATATTTTTATTAAGCAAGGTTGCATTACACTGATCAAAAGTGACTGTAGACATTTATAATGTTTGAAAAGATTTGAAATAAATGTTCTTTTGAACTTTCTATTCATCAAAGAATCCTGAATAAAAACTTTCTACAAAATATTACAATTTCCTTAAAAATTTTAAGCAGCACAACTGTTTTCTACAGAGCCACTTCAAGAAATGACATGCAAGAAAAAATAAATAAATCGTAAACTAATTAGTAAATCGTGCGCACAATTTATAAATCGAGGGAACGAATTAGTGTGCGGGGCTCCGTAGTTTACCACATTGATAATAAGAAATGTTTCTTGAGCAGCAAATCAGCTAGGGGTGCTCCGATTGATCGGCTACCGATCGCTATCGGCCGATAATGGCTTGGGGAAGTTTGATCGGCGGTCTCTATAAAGGCCGACGTGACTGCTGTGAGAGGTTCAGCATGAACCTGTCCTGTCATCTCTGTCCAGCGCGGGTAAAATAATTATAATGCTGATGGTGTGGTACAATTCATATTTCTTCAGTAAATAACAGAAAATGTAATTTCACAAACAGCGTGAGTGAATCAACACGCGCTCTCTCTTTCCTTCTCTAAAAGCGCAAATGGTTTCAAACCACCACATCACGTCTGCACAATAGGCGAGCTGCACAGTTCACACAGGAATTGTCACTTGCACAATCGAGGCAGTGTTGCATCGTCACTAAAGTTTATAATTTTAATTTATTTTTCATTCTTGCCAGTGTTTAAACCATTCAACACTTGCGCGCTCTCCTAGAGACGGTGTGTTCATGCACACTCAAAGCGCGCACACATAACGCCAGGTTCGCACATACTCTTGCTTATATTTACTGCATTTAAACACGTCTATGAAAGATTGTATTACTGTACAGCATAAAAAAGAGAATCAGAATGCTCAAAAAGCATTTTCCGTAACAAAGTTTGGATTTATAATCAAAATGGATAAATTATGTGTTTGTGGTAAACAGCCGCGCATCAGTAGCTGCTTCTGCACCACTTACACATGGACTGCATACGCACTGCACCTGGCATGAGGCCGCCTCACATACAGCTTACGAAAATCAGGCTTGTGCTGTGTGTAAGCTATTGTGCAACCATTGCCCCATTGTAAAAACAAAAGTGCTCTGCATGATCAAACATTTAGGTGAGATAATTATATATTTTTGAAAAATGTAAAAAAAAATTACAAAATCCCCCCACAAGAGTCACGTAAGAGGGTAATTCGCCCACCCACCCCCCATTTTCAAAAATTATATTCAGGCCCTGAATGAATGTCTGTAAAAATCCTGACTGGAGCATCACTATAAATAATTCTACATGATAAAAAGAATGCTTCAAAAAGATTGGTGATCGTATCGGCAGATACTGCTTCCTGTGATCGACAATCGGTGATCGGCCCAAAAAATCCTGATCAGAGCACCCTTAAAATCAGCATATTAGAATGATCTCTGAAGGATCATGTGACATCGTGGCACAGCCTTTAATAAGGCAATTTTTGAAGGGCTCTGTAGCGCAAACCATTTGACCTTCAGTCACCAAAATTCATACACCTATAGATCTCATCAGGCCGAACAACTTTCTTTCTGACAGTCAGCGCTCAGGGTTTTGTGAAAAGCACACGCTGTGGATTTTGCGGTACTCCTCCTAGGATTTTCATCCGATTGCCACCAAAATCGGTCAACATGATCTCAATGTTGACAATGGGGATTCAAAATTGCTCGAGCAGTTTGGCCATGGCGAGGCAAAAAAAAATATGGCGAGAAATTAGAAACCGGAAGTGTCTAATAACTTTTGCACACTTTGTCTGATTTTGATCAAACTTCAGCAGATTGTTCGTTGTATGATGCCGATCACATAGATGTGACTTAGGAGTCATTTACAGCACCACCAACTGGCAATAGGAAGTGTGTCATTTTCAAAATGCTTTGAAATCAGCCTCTTATTTTTACTCAAACTACTGAAAATGCTAAATTGCAAACAGATTTTTGGATATCTTGAACGGTGTTGCCATGGCAATTTATTAAAAATAACAGTAAAAAAAAGATAACCGTAATTTTATTATCTTTAAAGTGCATTATCCAAACTCTTCCAAAAAACAAAAATGGAGAACAAGTCATTCTGAGGAAACATGCTTCGTTTTGTAAACCAGCAGAAAATTAAAAACTATCAGACAGTTCAGCTGACAGATGAAGGCTGTAATTCTAAGGTTTAGGATTATAAATATTTTAAGCCTAATCTTGTTCAACTCCTAAGAATGACTAATACATGTATATAATCAGTTGATATGTACTGTACTGTCAGTATACTTTTTACATAATTATTTTAGAAATGCTTATAGAGCATTAAAATCTTTTTTTTTTAAATCGTATAGATCATTGAAAGTTTTATATATCCTACCCTCTCTCACTCATAGGATAAGAAATATTTTAAGCCTGATCCTTTACTGCTCAGTTCAATTAGGTAGATTGACAAACAAATACATAAAATAAGTTAATATGTACTACAGGTATACTGGTATTATTGTTTTATATAATTATTTCACAAATGCATATAGATCATTAAAATCATTTAAAAAAAAAAGTTTATAAATCATTAAAGGTTTTGGTAACGCTTGGCAATAAGGTCTCATTTGTTAACATTAGTTAATCCATTAACTAACATGAACTAACAGTGAACAATATATTTTTACAACATGTATTAACCTTTTTTATAAATAAATGTTAATTAACTAATGTTAACATACAACTTTAAATTTTAATAATGTATTAGTAAGTTTTGAATTTAATATTAACTAACATTTAATAAATGCTATATAATTATTGTTCATGTTAACTAATATAGTTAATGTTAACAAATTAAACTGTATTGTAAAGTGTTACCAAAGTTTTATATATTGTTGTCTGTGTGTGTGTTTCACACTCTTGATTTTATAGTGTAACCCTTTTTTTGCTGTAACCCTTAAAACCAGACTGCCAGAGGGTTACTGTAAATGCATGTGCCCGCTGTGCACCGTTTTCCTGATGCCACCGGGGTGGCGGCTGCGCTGATGGCTTGGGCCCGTGATCACTGCTTGCAGATATATTTGTAAATTGTATTTATATTTCACAATATTAAAATTTTTACTGTATTTTTGATTTTTTTTTTTTAAATGTAGCCTTGGTGATCATAAGAGACCTTTTCAAAAACATAAAAATCTTACTAACCCTAACATTTTGGGGAGTAGTATTAGGGATGTGCGATAATGACAAAAAAATGATATCTCTATATTTTCATCTATATAGATCAGGGGTGGCGAACATCGGTCCTGGAGAGCCGCAGCCCTGCAAAGTTTTGCTTCAACCCTAATCAAACACACCTGAACAAGCTAATCAAGGTCTGAAGGGTTACTAGAAAGCTACAGGCAGGTGAGTTTTAATTAGGGTTGGAGCTGTACTCTGCAGGGATGCGGCTCTCCAGGACCGGAGTTCGCCACCGCTGATATAGATAATTAGATACTGTAACGCTATTTTGCTGAGCGTGTTATTGTGCTGGTACTTTGGCAGGTTTAGAACTGCCGTGGACCGCTGATTCCCAAAGCTTTTGATATCCTTCATATTCTGTGAGGTGGTTAGTTTGCAAGAGTAACCAAAATTAATATTTAAGTTTAAATTGATTTTTAATTTTTATAAAGCCAATTTTATTTCTAACCTAATTAAATGTATGCATCGTCTTTTGTGTCAAATTCTTACATTTAATCAATAAATTTAAATAGTTGGACACTATATAGCTGTTGCCAATCAAATAAAATTTGTGCAAAAAATTCAACAAAATTTGTGTTTGCAATGAAGAGGTGCGCATAATCTGCATCTGAAGTGGCGTTTAGATGCATTCACACAGACTTTTTAATGAAGGATATGAATGCGTTTAACCTGCAGTTACAAATGCATAATTAATGTTTTGATGTTTTAAAAACGTGCTTGATCACAGGAATAAATTACATTTTAAAATATATTCAAATAGAAAACGGTTATTTTAAATTGTAGTAATATTCATAATATTACTGTTTTACTGTATTTATGATGAAATAAATGCAACCTTAGTGAGCATAAGAGACTTATTACAAAAACATTTTAAAAATCCTACCAAACTTTTGAACAGTAGTGTATACCACCTAAACAGAAAAAAACTGATAAAAATGATTAAAATGCTGTTTCAACCATGAAGAATTTTTAACCATGTCAAGAGTCTGGTAAGTTATTCCAGTAAGGACTGAAAGTAAAGGATTGTTGGGTGATTTGATGAGTCAAGTTCTTGGCTTGTGTCTCTCACAGGAATCGATGTGGAAAAGTCCAGTGGTCCAGAACTGAGGAAGAGACGTGCATCAACAGGACAGATGCCACCGTCCAAAAGGAGCAGAGCCAATTCAAGCACAGGTTCACTCTCTCTGTCACTTGATCATACTTCATTCTTGTTGTTCCAGCTGTTATTATTTATACTGGTTGGCGTTTAAACCATCTGACTGGACATTATGTCTCTGATAACCTCATAGACAGAAACAGTCAATCCCAAATCAAACCGGTTACATCAGACTCTGTCCCAGAGACTTTAGAAAGTAAAGATGGCCCAACCAGTCATGCAGAAAATGCAGCACCCAAAGAGGAGGCAGGATCCACACCTGATCTTGGTAAACGTCCTCCTGTGTTTCAGTTTGATAATCAGATGTGTTTGCTAAGACTGAATCATTATTGCTATTTTTCATACTAAGGGTGAGTATTTATTTATTTATTTATTTTAATGAAGTCTTGTATGCTCACCAAAGGAAAAAAAAGTACTATTGTGAAATAATATTACAATTTAAAGGTGCAGTAAGCGATTTCTGAGAATTGCTGCTGATATTTGAAATCACCAAAACAAACACACCCCTACCCAAAAGAATCACGCCCCTATCTTGCCTCCGCCCCCAAATTTCTGAACATGCACAGGCACCTCCCTCATCACTGCTGGACATGCCCCTTACTGGTGATTGGCTACAAGTGTGTTTTGGTGCTCGGTCCGATCCACTTTCAACAGCATTTCTCAGAAATCGCTTACTGCACCTTTAAAATAATTATATTTTAATATATTTTGAAATGTAATTTGTTAGGGCTGTCATGATTGCTCAATTTAATTATGCAACATATGTCACTCATTCCTCCAGATTTGTAATAAGAAGCTTTTAGAAACCTGTTGCCAACAAAGAAGAAGCTTTAAGCTTTAAGGGCAAAAATCTTGATGGTTTAACATTTGAAGATGAAGAAATTAATGGAGTTCATAGGTTAATGTAAAGTAGACTTTAATTACAATGTGTAAATACATCAATATGTTTCTAACTATAAGAATTGTTCTTTATTGTGATTTCAAACCCCTGCGTCCACATGTTTGAAATTAGTCACTGTAACGTTGTATCATATAAAAGTGGATGAAGTAGTCAAATAATAAATGTATTTAAATCCAATCTAGTTTTGCCCAAAAATAAATAAGGATTTGATCCTGTGACAAATGTGTAACAGTCGCCAGTCCATTGGTGACCTCTGCAGGTTAAGAAGTTCATTCACATAATTATTATTATAGTCATTATTACATGTAATAATTTACACTAATAAGTCTGGTTTTAATTTGCTATTGTTGCTATTGTAGCAGTGAATTTTGCACAAGGCACCACTCGCATTTTCTTCAGAATATGTACAAATCTTGTTAATTCAACATTTATGCAGATATATGATGTGCTAACTAGCGCATTGCTTTCTCAGCTGAAGCAGTCAAACAGCCGCAAACAATCCACCTTCCAACCACAAACAAGTATAGCAGAGAACCATGTGAGTACACAACCCTCGATTTCACTCACCCACCAATACAGTATAAAAACCTGCCGGTATGTGACCTCATTGCCCTTTTCCTCCCTCAGTGTACAGGGTCATCAAAAACCAGCCGCCTCCTATCCTGTCCATTGAGCTGGACCACAACCCATTCAAATGCAAGATCGTAGGCTGCCTCAAGTCTTTCCGCAAGGCGTCTCTGCTGCACTACCACATGAAGTACTATCACGCACAGAGCGACCCAAGTCCCCCGATCCAGACACGCTCCTCAGACAAACAGATCCACAGCAAGGAGACCCCTCGCAGGCGCCGGACCGTCTCGGCTTCCCACCGTTAGTGCACTTTGTCTATCAGTATTTACTTTAGATGTTTGTGTGGGTGTTTGTTTTTGTTTGGGTTGCCGATGAAGTCCGTTGACATTTTGTCCGTATTTATGTGTTTACTTGCATTAGCATCATTAACGTGCCTATATAGTGCTCAGCCAAAATGCATAAAAAGTTTTCCATTTTTAGTTGAAAACGATGTTGTGTAAACGCCCCCTGAGGAGAAAACTCGGAATTGTAAGATAAAAAGTCGCAGTTCCTTTTTTTTTTTTTTTTTTTCTTTTCATGTGGCAAAACAAGAAAAACAGAACTGCGAGATGTAAACTCAGAATTGAGAGAAAATAAATACAGACTCGTAAACGTGCAATTATGACTTGAACTAATTACAAGTAAAAAAAAAAGTCAGAATTGTGAGATGAAAAAGTCAGTTACATTTTTCTTTTTCTTTTTTCCCTTAGTGGGAAAATTTTAATTTAAAGTCAGAATTGAAACATGTTAACTCTCAATTCTGTGGGGAAAAAAAGTGAACTGTGAGATATAGACCCGCAATTGTACTATATTACACATTACAAGAAGGGTAAAATCAAAAAGAGCATAATGTGTGCACTTTAAAGGGGTCATATGATGCTGCTAAAAAGAACATTATTTAGTGTATTTGGTGTAATGAAATGTGTTTATGCGGTTTAAGGTTCAAAAAACACATTATTTTCCACATACTGTACATTATTGTTTCTCCTCTATGCCCCGCCTTTCTGAAACGCCTCAATTTTTACAAAGCTCATTGGTCTGAAAAGCGAGGTGTGCTCTGATTGGCCAGCTATCCAGTGCGTTGTGATTGGCCGAATTCCTCAAGCGTGTGACAGAAATGTTACGTCCCTCACCATATTGTGATGCCTGCGGCAACCACATGTGACGACCCCGGGCTGAACTCCGCTTCGTCCACGGTGAAAGCCGATCTGGCGATCCACAGCACAAAGTTGATGTATTTCCTCAGCGACCAGCACGGATCAGCTCTAGGTATGACGAAGCGGATATCGTCCTCTTTTGGAAGGCCAAACAAAGTAGTTTCGCTTTCACAACAAAACACACTGCGCCTTCACGACATGGAGGCGGCGGCAACAATACTACAGCGAGAATAAAAGTTATGCCTTCTTTCTTTGCGTGAACATTTGGGCGGCGTTATGCAGATCTTCCCACATAGTGAGGTAGATATGTGGGGGCGTGTTAGAATGAGCCGTTTTAGGTAGGCGTGGTTGACTCTTAACTTTTATAAAGAATATCTCTTTGGATTTGAGACTTTAGTCTTTGCAACTTTACAGATCTTCTTTATGCACCAAGAGCTTGTAACACTCCAAAGAGAAAGGAACAATTGAAATCACATCATATGACCCCTTTAAATGAACTTCCTCCCACAGATACTCCCTCTCCTCTGAGTGACAGTAAGTCAGGTCACACTCTGTCACCCCCTGCTGTCGTCATGCACCGGCAGCGCTCGGCCACGCTGGGCGCAGAGAGGAGCAAAGAGAACCAACACTTCAACCGCTCGCTGCATGACGACAGAGACTGGGTTGCCAAGGAAACAGGTATTGGAGAACAGTGTGATCATTCCATCCATTTCTGTGCACGTTCACGCTGATTCCTCTGCATATTACCACAGTCGGGCCATGACAGTAATAGAGATTGATTTTCTCATCTGAAGGAGTGAAAGAACGGGAGAGGCTGAGGGAGAAGCGGCAGAGGGATTTCTTCCGCATTAAACTAAAGAAAAAGAAGAAGAAGAAAAGGAAGTCGAAGTCAGGTGAGACGGCTGTTTTAGTGCCGTGGTGTCTCTGTGTGTCTTCAGCTCTCTGCTGTCCCCTCTGCTTGTCTGCTGGAGCTGCAAGATTTCTTTAAAGTATTTCTCAATTATGTTAAATTACTTCAGACCTGGCAATATATTCGAGCAGTGGGATATGATCTCATGCTCTAGGGATTCTGTTTGGCATAAATGATAAACTATTTATAACAAGTTATACATTAAAAAAAAATATATATAGCATCTACTAATGCAACTCTAAAAACCATCCAGCTTTTTAAATTGAAGTTATTTTTTAAAATATTTCTTTAAAGTTGGATTGATAAAATTAGACTTTCTTACATATTTCATTCTTAGTTGGTGATGTTTAGATCCTCTGTTTGTCAAATGTCTTGTGAATGTGAATTTGCAGGCCAGAGTTCAAATTCTGTACGGTATATAAAGACGCACATGCGTTTTGTTGTTGTTGTTTTTTTGCCTCATAAGGTAGGAAGATACTCTGCCTTATAAATTATTACCTTATTACTGCCTTATAATGTACATTACTACTGCCTGTTCATAAATTACTAAACTTGTCCTTAAAAGACTATCTTTTTTTTTAAACCGCATAAACACATTTCATTACACCAAATACACAAAATAATGTTCTTTTTAGGAGCATCATATGACCCCTTTAAAACTGTAGTTTCCCAAAGGCAGTCCCAGAAATATGATTTGAAACAGCCCTTGGTTTGCTACGTCACAAACCAATAACCAATCACGTCACTAGCATGCAAAATATACCAATACCAGCACAAAACCAAAAATAAATCAGAGCAAAAAACCCATGAAGCTGTGGTTTAATGTGAATTTAGAACTGCTAACTTGCATTATAACCCGTGGCAACAGTGTAAAAGTAGCCCGGAGTCAGATGCACCTCTCCCGCATCGGCGTCTGCACTTCACGCGCGTTGCTCACGGGCGCAAGTTAAGAATCACAAACGGCTGCATTCCAGTCTTCAAGACATTTTAGGACACAACATCGTCAAGTAACTTTAACGAATGTTACAGTATTCACTGTAGTTGCCCGCTAGTAAAAACATAGTTTTATCAGTCATTATCCGTGTATGCCACTGTTTTGCGGTTACTACAGTTCAGTGGATCAGGAGGCGCTGGCTGGTGTGACTTGAGTGGAGGTGGGACTTTTTGCATATTCATAGATCAGCGTATAGTAAATGAGGCAAGGGTGTAGAGTTACATTCAAGCTATTTTAAGGAATGAGAAAATTATTTTCACAAGAAAAAACATTTAAATATGTCATTTTGATGATCAAAGAAGTTTTAAGGGATAAAATATTTGACTACAGGGGGACTTTAAGAATTAATGCATTTTTTAAATAATAAAATGAAAACAGTTAAGTCCTTTTTTAAATGAACAAATTAATGGACATATTTAAGACTGCTTGTTTGATTCATGATTTAAAATTTTGTTAAAATAATAAAAAATATTAAATAATTTAAAGTTTTAAAATGTATTTAAATAAAACAATAAAAATATTTATATAATAAATCGTTTTTTAAATGCACATTTTAAATGGCATTTTAAAGAACATTTCCAATTTCATTTCTTTGTCCATTTGCCATTCAAGATTTTAAAAAACAAAAGCCCATTGGACATTTCACTTATGTGGGCAACCAATCAGCTTTTGACTCATTTATAAAAGCCACTCCCTCTTCCACAGGCCACTCAAAATAGATGCAAGATTATGTACAAATAGTCTTTTAAATGAAACGCTCGTTTTACCCAATATTTATTCAGTTCACTTATTACTGAATTTTGAATATAGAAATTCTCAAGCATTTTAGAAGTGCTCAACACATTTAAATCACAGCACAATGTGTCAGCGCTGGGACACCAAATCTATGTGTCATTTGTCTTGAGTTATTAATAGACTCTTAAAGTGCACAGCCACCCCCAAAATGAGCGTTTTGGTTGCCGATCCCTCTTGACAACATCAAGAACTGAATCAGATCTACAAGCCGCCTCGTCGGTGAGGAACAGCTCGGTCTGTGTTTAATCCTGTGTGGCGTCTGCTCTTCCTCCTCTGACAGACTGTTACAGCACTGAGGAGAGAATTGGCCTAAAGCCTCTCCCCTGCAATCTGAATTCGGCCCACAAATTGCCCCTCTCCCTCACACACCGATCCTACACGGGACACTGCCCTGAAAAGATGCTCAGCCAGGGTGGGTACCACAGAACGCAGGTCCTCCGAACTCACAGCTGCCTGCTTTGTGTTTTTCTCCTGCCTTGATGTCTTTCAGTGTCTTGACTAGTTGTCCACTGTCAGATGTGTCTAGTCATTGCCGCTCTGTAGATTTTTCTCTCTAGTGTTGTGTGTTTTTAACGTATGTGTGATTAGAGGAGCTGATTGTCTTGCATGGATGACGGTGTTATAAAAACAGATCAAATCTGCTGCTTTAGTGTATATTGTGGTCCTTCTTGTTTCCTCCAGGTGAAGACAGCAGCAGTGATTTGTCCTCAGACAGTCTTGTATGGAGTGAGGACGAGTCTGACGCTGAGCTGGATCTGAGCATGCCTCTCTCAGAGCAGGGTGTGGAAACGGTCACTCACGGCTCTGAGATCGTACGCTGTATTTGTGAAGTGCAGGAGGAGAACGACTTCATGATACAGGTGAACTACCACCCTCTGAAATCAGACCAGACCTCAACCCTCTGATTTTTTTTATTTATTATTTTTTTTAGAATCATTTTTCTCACATTTCCCATAATTGTAGAATTTCATTTTGAAGAGTTTTTGTTCTGTTTTTTTTTCATATATATAAAAAAAGTCTGTTTTGACCATAAATATGATTGAATTGCCTATAAAATAAACTAAGAACTTTCACATATTTATTTTTATATATACAGGTATTTCACTGTAATTTAATAAATATTTTTATTATGTGTTAAATTATTAATATATATAATATAATAAACAACATATAATATTGCTTTATTTATATATATATATATATATATATATATATATATACACTGAAAAAATTATAAACGCAACACTTTTGTTTTTGCCCCCATTTTTCATGAGCTGAACTCAAAGATCTAAGACTTTTTCTATGTACACAAAAGGCCTATTTCTCTCAAATATTGTTCACAAATCGGTCTAAATCTGTGTTAGTGAGCACTTCTCCTTTGCCGAGATAATCCATCCACCTCACAGGTGTGGCATAGCAAGATGCTGAGTAGACAGCATGATTATTGCACAAGTGTGCCTTAGGCTGGCCACAATAAAAGGCCACTCTAAAATGTGCAGTTTTATCACACAGCACAATGCCACAGATGTCGTAAG